GGCAGGTCAGCAAGACGGCACTGAGCAAGACGGCCTGCTGGCTTTGCTCGCAGTCTGTCTGCTCCAGGATACCAATGGGGGAGGCAAGCACAGGGTGCACAATTGACAGTGCTTGCCTCCCGCTGTAGACTTCTCATCTCAGTAGTCATTTCCAAATACTGTGGGTGAAAACAGCTGTAGCCTACTTGAATCTTCAGGTCCTGCATATCCTGGAGGCTGAATGTGATGGTTGGTTGGTTTGGGTTTTTTTTTTAACAATCCTTGGGTGAAAAAAAAAAAAAAAAAGGCATTTTCTTTACAACTAAATTCCCTTTAAGAAAAATATGTGAATCCTACAGCAGGGTATTTTTATCGAAATTTATTTAATATTTTAAATTACTGATTATGACTGCCTTTTAACAATTTCACTCAAACACTGGGTGAAAGACACTGAGAAAAACATCAAATTATATGAATGGATAAACAATTTCTGGAGCACAAGTCTTATGAAGAGCGGCTGAGGGAACTGGGGTTGTTTAGTCTGGAGAAGAGGAGGCTGAGAGGAGACCTTATCACTCTCTACAACTACCTGAAAGGGGGTTGTGGCGACGAAGGTGTTGGTCTCTTCTCCCAAGTAACCAGCAACAGGACGAGAGGAAACGGCCTCAAGTTGCGCCAGGGGAGGTTTAGATTGGAAAAATTTCTTCACTGAGAGAGTGGTCAAGCATTGGAACAGGCTGCCCAGGGAGGTGGTGGAGTCGCCATCTCTGGAAGTGTTCAAAAAATGTGTGGATGTGGCACTTCAGGACATGGTTTAGGGGACATGGTGGCGCTGGATTAATGGTTGGACTTGATGATCTTGAAGGTCCTTTCCAACCTAGTGATTCTGCGATTCTGTAATTTCCCAGTAAACGTTTTGTTCTAGATAACTAAATCCTGGCACGAGTATTGTTGCCATTTTGGGGTAGTGATGTGATAAACAGAACCACAAAATACAAGAGCTTCCATATTTTAGTGCCAGTTGTAAATAAAAACAGGTACTGCATTAGAGAAAACCCTGAATTTCTTAGGTCTATTGAATATCCTAGCAAGGTAGAGTTCACATGCTCATACTGTAGTGGTATAGGGCATATGGATATCCATACCATGTACTTCATTTGCACTAGCGATACCCAGAGGATGCTGCATAGCCTGCTGTTCCAGCAGTCCCACAGCACTGTATGACAACATATTCAGAATGTTCTCATGAAGAGTATCTCCGTGCTTTCTTTAGAGGAAAAAAGAAGAAACTGCAATAATCATAAAGAGACTGCTGTCGTGCTTCCACGGATCACTACAGAGCACAACAGACCCAACTTAAAAGCCACGGAAGTTCAGTAACAGAATGAGCCCAACAGAGGTAATATACTGGCATATTAGGAATCCAGGAGAGCACATAACACAAAATATCTTATGACATCAAAATTCTGTGGTACATCTGTATTTTGAATATTGCATTAACTTTTGGTACTCTTTTCTCTAGAATACATTGGAGGTGGAAGAGATACAGAAGACAGCAAGAATGAATAATTATGCAGCAAATTCCATTCAGATAACAAAGTAGACCACGAATCTTCAGCCTGGAAAAGATGTGACTGAGAAGGATAAAACACAGAAATCTGTAAAAACAGAGAGAGACTATATGTAGGTAGGGGTTGGAGCTAGTAGAGGCTGAAAGCCATAACCAGATAAAATGGTCAGCAATCCAAAACAAAAATTTTAAATGACTTTCAGCACAAATCTAGACAGAATACTGCCAACTCCATCAGTGGTCAATAATGATCAAGAAAGAAAAAAAGACACAAGCATCTTTTAAAATGGAGTGATTTTTTGAAAGTCTTCTCTGAAGAAAAACAAATTCCCTTAATGGTAGGCAGTGCCTGGCTGAGTTCATGTGTTTGTGCTGCAACATGACATGTTTCTAGGCTGTAAGTTTTTTTTGAAACTGATCACTAGAAGGACAGATAAGCTGCAGTACTGACTCCTTACGAAAGCTACAGTAGTGCATCCTCCTGAAGAGCACGATGTAATTTGGACTGTTCCTTTACGACGGCACACTCTGCAGAGATTTCTCTACATAACTGTCAAAGGGAAAGACTAAACCAGAGAGCACAGCTCATCAGCACTGGACGACCCATGAAACACTCTGGGCTGCAATACCATGTGGAGGAACCAAAAGGCATAAAAAGATAGGGAAGAGATGTTTTGTTTTCTAAGTGGAAAGGTAATAATAATGCTACAGTATTACAGAGATGGTGAATTTGTTTGTAATATTAT